AGTGGTTGCTCGTCATTCCCCGACATCTGCGCTCTGACATCTGTGCCACATTCCACGATGATCCGCAATGTGGCACGCTGGTGTGTTAAAAACATACACTCACTTGCAGCTGCGGTACTACTTGCGCGGTATGTACCGTTTCGTTCGCCGTTACGTAGGTCTTGCCTACGTGCCAGCAACGCAAAATGCCCACTCAGCATGCCACAGGTCCCTTGCAACGTTGCCATGTCCAGCACGAGCTTTCGATCGTGTCGGAATCGACCTTTACGTCCGCTTCCCTATACTTCGAGTAGCAACCGCTGGGTCATTGTCGCTATCGACCACCTAACGCGGTATGCTGAAACAGCTGCGTTACCTTCTGCTACCGCAAAAGACGTTGCGTGTTTTATACTGCAAACCTGGTTTTAAGGCATGGAGCACCTCGAGAGTTACTAAGCGACCGTGGCCGCGTTTTTTCTCTCCGATGCTATCAAAGCGTTGTTGAGCGAGTGTCGCATCATACAGCGCACTACCACAGCCTATCATCCGCAAACTAATGGGATGACAGAGCGTTTTAATCGTACACTTGGGGATATGCTGGCCAAGTACGCTTCATCCGACCATCAAATTGGGATAGCATACTGCCTTTTGTGACATATGCTTACAACACTGCAACGTAAAGCACCACTGGATTTTCGCCTTTCTTTCTTCTTTAGGACGCGAGCCATCATCAACAATGGATACTATTCTTCCTTATCGACCGGACCCTTCAGAGATGACTAACCGTTTCTCGAGCAGCAGCACACGCTGAAGAATGTCGGAAGCTTGCTCGTGCGTTCACGTCACTGACCAGATGCACCAAAAATCGCCACGACGCATCAGCCACGCCTATGAGCTTTGCACCGAACCACTGGTGTGGTTATGGATTCCTTCTACTCCTCCAGGACTCTCCCACAAGCTTTCGTCCAGGTACCATGGCCCTTATCGAGTTATACGCCAAACATCCCCTGTCAACTACCTGGTCGAGCCGCTGGATGCATCTCCGGACAAGCGCCGTCGGGGACAAGAAATTGTACACATTTCTCGGCTCAGCCATACCATGACCCTTCTGTGTACACCTGTCCTTAGGTCGCCAGGATGGCTCCCTCATCGCCCGGGGGTGATTGTAACGAGGGCAGTGGGCATGGAGCTCGAATAGAGAAAAGGAAGAAGACTTGCTGTGATCGCAGGCTTGCGTTCAGTTAGCCCTTGCGCTCAATAAGCTTTCGTTCACCGAGTCAACTCCTGCTGGTTCAACACCCCATTTCACTGCGATATACCCAAGCATGAGGTCGGCGTTATTTATGACGCCGACCGCATGCCGCATATTGTCATATAAAGTCTGGCTTGATTAGAATTTGATAGGCCCTAGCAGGCACTGCCCCTGATTACACACCACCTACACACCACGTGCACACACATACACACACACACACGTACACCATCTTGGTGGTTCGGTGTGGGAATTTCGAAGTGGTGTCACCACCTATCTTTTCTGTCAATGGCTTTTGTGGTTTATGAGGCACCTTTTTGCAGCAAGAGGGGCTTCCTTAGTATGACGCCTTCAGCGGTGGTGACTACGTTTGTGTACGTAACTTGTTTATGCCAACTTGTGGCCAAAAGAGAGCAGGATACAGTTTTCATTAGATGAATTTAACCTTCTGCATAGTCAGTATGACTTGACTTTACTTCCATGTGCTACAAATGACTAGAGTCGATCACTTTTGCTATTTATTTTTTACATTTTAAGTAAACGCACGCATCGAGTTCATTAACTCCAAGAAACAGTCCTTTCACAACTCTATGTGCCTTTCAGCGTTCCCCCTCCTCAACATTCGCCACAATGTCAACATTCAACTGATCGTCATCTTCCCGACCTGTTTGTTCGGTCGCAGGTATGTGTGCTTGCTGCTACTCCTCCTCGCACAGTGAGGAGGAACACTTGGCCAGGAAGAAGGACAAACAGACTGGAGCACAGCGTAGGAAGGAGCGAAACGAGCCAGTGTGTTTTTTGTATCATCAAACGCACATAACTATGCTATCACAGCACTGTTTTTAACAATTAACACAGCTACAGGTTCGCTGTACACTCATGCGCAACTGGCACATCACAACTAAATTTTTAGCTCTGGGTCATTTAAGGGCTTAAGAATTTCTGCCACATGAGTATTCATTATTTAAATCACACTTTTCAAAAAATAACCTGTTTAAAATGTCAATAGTTCGGGTATATAAGTGCAATGTTGGTAAAGGTATGAAATTGAATACCACAAAGAAACTACAGTTCAACTCGCACATGGTTGAATGGGAGTTGTAACAGTTGACAAGCTCTATACAAAATTCAGTATGCTCACAGGTCTTGAGTAATGTGTCCCAGTCTGTCTGAAAAGCCTCCCATGAAAGACCGCTTCAAGTTTCGATGCTGCGGGAATGAAGGCATAAGTTCTGCTTCACAGGCTGGAAAGTAACAAGAGCAAGCATCTTAATATAACACAAATTAAGCGAAGCTTTTCAATTAATAATTTGATATGTTATCATCTACTCTGCATTTTAGTGTTTGTCTTACTATCTCTTTATATATCTGCACTGCAGTGTACAACTCATAAATTAAAAAGTGAAAATTTAAGACTAAGTATTGCCCATACTATTGTTTCCGCTATCTTCAATTCCTGTCGTATTTGAGCAATTTCAACAAAAACACTCACATCATAGTCAGCATCACCTTTACCGGCCTGATTTGCAGCGACCTGATGCAGTTATCTCAGACAACAGCATGTACCAGTCATTATATTAAACACTTTGATGCCAAGTTTAATCCGTGAGGACTGTACATAACTGTATAAGCCTTGTCAGAAGAATAGGCAAACCATGCTTACGCAAGGGAGGTTCAGAGAAATAGGAACTTTGAGTGCCTCCTCGGCAGTGGCTCTGTCAATGAAATATTAAAAAATTAATAAGGCACTACACACCCTCAAATAGATTTCAGCATTCCCTCCAAATACAGAACTGGAATGAACTCCTGCTGTTACAAAAAAAGCAATTTTGCACACATTGAACAAGACTTCACATGATACAATGAGAGGTAATTTTATGCATACCTGCACAAATGCAGCAACAAGGATAAAATTATGACACAAGACTTTGTGCTAGCATCTTTAGCTCTTATACAAGGCTGATTTATTCAAGCAATTTACATAAATGTGTAATCAAACACACTCATAAATTCCAAACAATCTTGAATTTCCAAGATAACTAAGATAAAACAAAAATACAGGAAAGCCTGCCACATTAAAAAAAGTGTTTTTTGATATTAACTTTTGGTATTCCTAGAATTAAGCAGCCAAACTATTAAAACTAGAAAAAGTCCCAAGAAACTTCTGTGAAAGAAGTAACATTTCCATATAAATTTTTTTTTAATCTGGAAAGTAAAAATTGTTGGAAGATTAGCTGCCAATTGTTTAAAAATTATTATAAAAACAATCAAGTACTCTTTCAACATAGAAAATTTACATTAGATGTAATGGCCAAAGAACTCAAGGCACTAATCTTTCTAAAACAAGGTTTTATTACGCCATAAAAAGCACGGATCGCCACCGTCAGCTTCAGGCAATCTAAGGGGTCTATAATGCAGCGGTAGATATGTACTCCCTGCCTGTTTTGACGTGGGAGCGGCCCGTAGGAGATTCGGGGCGAAACTCAACTCTCCTCCCGCTGTTCTCAATGAAGTAATTTATCTATCTACCTATAAACGCAGTGAAATATTCCAATCTTTGCTTGGCCTTTTTTTTTTTAGAAAAAAAATATTATTCAGAGCATAATGTTGTATATACCGAAATGTGAGGTTCTGATGGCCATTTTAAAGCGACATTTAGGAAAGCAACAGTGATTACAGACTACATAGTAAAAATTAATAAAGTAACAATAAAAATGAAAAAAACTTGATTTCCTCAACATAACTAAACTCTGAAGACGCCACATTGACATTGGAGTCATCAGTGCATGTAGGGACTGAGAGATTGCTAGTAAGCAGCATCAAATGAAGCGAGAACTGCTCTTTATAGAGCATGCACGGTTTCATGTGTGAGGCCATTCACAGCTCGTTGCTTCAGCCTTTCAATTCACACACTCCTTAAAAATTTCAACAATGACATAAAAATATCAACCGTGCAGATATGACGACTGTAGTCAGTATACTATTGCCAAGATGGTGCTACAAGCACAGATGCGCGGTATACTTAAAACAAGCCCACAAGAACATCATTCACTATTGATCAATGCCTAGTGCCGCAGTAAGGAAAATGTTAAGGTACTGATATAAACATGCCAACATTAACAGTATACGGATTTTTTCTCCGGCCTTTGAACTTCACTAAAGCTTTTGAGCAGAGGGGAATTCCTTGGAAATATCGTCTTTTTAGAGTGTCCAAATTGTTAAGTGCTAAGCACATGCTTAAAATTAACCCTTTATATTCTAGCGTTCACATGTGGACAAAACATACCAGTGTAGAGTGATCGATGCATTGCCTTGAAAATAGCTTTGAAATGTTGGTATTGCTTCAAAATTTTCTAAAAAAACATATATATCTGTTCCTGTCTGTGAACAAAAACAGTACGTGTGCACAGAAAAATTTGCATTCTTCACAAGCTACCAGTATAGATGTATCCCCACTTTTTTTCTTATATCATCATAATCATTCTCAGCCTGTGCTAGTCCACTGCAGGACAAATGCCTCTCCCTGATCTCCAATTTACCCTATCCTGTAAAGCTGATTCCATTTGACCCCTGCAAACTTCTCAATTGCGTCGCTCCATTTAACTCTCTGTCTTCCCCTACTATGTTTTCCATCCCTTGGTAACAAATTTGTTGTTATTACTGTCCATCAGTTGTCTGTTCTAGGCATTATGTAACCAGTCAAGGTCCATTTTTTCGCTTGATGTCAGCTAGGATATCTGCAACTCCCGTGTGTTCTCCTAACCATTCAGCCATCCTCCTATCTCTCAATGTTATTCCAATCATTCTGCGTTACATTGCAAGCTGCGTGTCCTCAGCTTTCATTCTAGCTGTTTTTTCATTCCTCATGTTTCAGCCTCATACATCAGAATTGGCAGTATGCAGTCGTTGTATCCTATAATGATAGCAGAAGATTTCTTGACTTTATGTGAGAGTGCCTGCCAAATGCACTGAAATCCATTCTTATTAGATGCGAAGCAGCTCTTTGACTAGCCTGTGTAATGCTGTCCCACCTTCCGTAGCGCGCTCTCCTGGCCGCAGGTGTTGGGGCGGTGCCAAGTACCTAGTCACGCCTTCCCTCGCAGTGCGCGCGCGTTGACGTCACTTTCTTCCTAGCCTGTGCACGTGCAGCCGCAGTGCCCTAGCCACAGTGCGCGCACGTTAACGTCACTTTTTCCCTAGTTTCGACACACACAAAACTATCCCCCTCTCCCCACTCGCCTCGCAAGGCCGTCTACTAGTAAAAAACCGACTGCTCGCTACGCACAGCCGTTCACTGGTCACCCCGTATATGTAGGCACTGGATCGCGCATTCGGAATTCAGTCAAGGGCATCTTAGCTTTCGCTTGATGAGCGCCAGAGTCACCGTCGCCGCCAGTGTAAGCATTAGCACCTACTACTTCGCATCTACACATGGTTCCTTTTAGCGGGAGATGGTCCAATTTTTCTTTGGTGAATGTCTCTTTTGTGATTAGGTTCTCTCGTGAGTAGTTGTCCTAGGTATACATATTCCTGAATACACTCCAATTTGATTTGTGATTTTGAATTCTATTTCGCCAGGCCATTGAATATTATGTTTGTTTTTGCTATATTCATTTTGAGGCCTACCTTCATACCTTGTAAGTTTAATTACTCAACCATTTTTGCTATTCGTTGCCATCGCTACTCAAGAGCACAATGTCATCTGCAAATCGTAGGTTGTGAAGCCATTCTCAACTTTGATGATCCTCGTTTCCTCCCATGCAGTCTAGCTCTAGCTGTTTAAGCACTTCCTCCTTGCATGCTGTGAACAACATTGAGGATATAGTATCTTCTTATTTTACTTATCTTACTCCTTTGTTGATCTCAATTTTATTGCTTTTCTTGTGAAGAATTAATAGCAGTGGAGTCTTGTGGATGTCTGCTAAGGTATTGACATAATAATTAGGCACCCCATGTTAATTAATGCTTTTAAAGTGCAGATATCTCTACTTAGTTGTATGCCTTTTTGTAGCCTCTGAAGGCTAAGTAAAGGGCTTTGTTGTATACAGCAGTTTTCTCCATTACCTAATTTGACATTATTGTGATCTATTATATAGCCTTTCCTGAACGCAGCTGGTTCTTTAAGTTTGTTGAAGTCAACTGTTTCTCTCATCCTGTTTGAGATTACTAGTGTAAACATTTTGTATATTACAAAAATAGGTTGATGAGCCTGTGTATTCTTTAGGTCTTTGATGTCTCCTTTCTTATGTATTGGTATAAAGTCGGCATTTTTCCAGCTCGCTGAAACAGTTGCCTTCAGTTCCTTTCAGTGAAGTTCTCCTGCGTCTTTAATAGATTGACTGTTTATTCCATGATCACCAGCTGCCTTCCCACGTGGCATATGTCCCATAGCCTTTCTAATTTCGTCAGTAGTTATATATGGCACTTCTGTATCTTTCTCATTGCTACTTTCAGTCGAGGTAAGATGAATTATTTTCGTGTATATAGTTCAGCGTAAAACTCCTCTGCCACCCGAACTCTCATTGAAGTTGTTCATAATTTTTCCCTGCTTGTCCTTGAAAGCATGCAGTTTTGATGCCGGTTCCCTTTTTACTGCTGTTTCTAACGCATTTACGCCGCAGTTTCATATTTCATAGACTTCCTTCTTGTTGGTAAGCATTGTCAGCTTAACAAACTCTATTTCAGACATGAAGTTAGTCTCCCTCATGTGTGCCCTTTCTTTACAAAGTTCTTAGTAGATTGGAAAAGCTTGCAAAGTTTTTGCATCGGCGCTTTACCTCCAACTTCGATAGCTGCTTCAGATATCAATATAGTTACCATTTCGTTCATCTCTTCGATCTCAGCATTATCCTCTTCTCTTAAAGCTGCGTATTTGTTTTTGATCTTAATCTGAAAATATTCCAATTTTACTTTAACTGCTTCTTGATTGGGTTGTCTTTTAGTAGCTAATCTTGCTCGAGATCTCAAATTAAGCATTATTTTCGCCCTTACTGACATATGGTCATTACCCTTCACCTGGTTTATGACATCAATGTTGTGTATTATGCATGGGATTTCTCATAGGATAAACCTATCTCGTTTTAGGGGCAAAGCTCCTAAAGCCGTGGGTCTGCCCTCCTAGCTCGTCATGGTTCGTGACCGCCTAGTTCGATGAATCACTCAGCAGGTGCGAACAGACAGATGGACGGACGGACGAATGCACGGCGGACAGACGGATACAGAGACAGACGAACAGAAGCACGGGCGCTTTGCCCACTCATCATCATTCACTCCGTGGATTGCTGTGATTTTTTCGCTGTTTGTCCGCCAGGGCTTTTTCATGTTCACCTCTTATTGTTACGCTATTGGAGAATGGTGTTCATTATGCGAAGCTTATCCCACTCTGTGAATTCTACTAACACCTCTCCTCTACTATTCCCAGAGTCAATACCATAATTACCAACTGCCCCTTCCCCATTTTGTTCTGTTCCTACTTTTGTATCGAATGCATGAAAGCAACGAAGCAGGTATTCAATTATAATATGCACAATTTCACTCTACACACTCTAGACAGTATGGTGTAAACGCTCTTGATAAAACTTCAGCAGCCAGTCCAAGCCACACTACATCTGGCATACATTTGAATTGGCAGCATTACAATATACTTAAATAATTTTGTTTTACATTCTGTATAATTGACGTCTCTTAGCATGGTTCAACTGGTAACATAAAAAGATAAATTGAACACAGATAGATTCGACTACTGATTGGCACATAAACATTTACTGTACAAGCATCACAAAAAAAAAATTTAGGAATAAGTTTTCTAAAAAGATGCTATTGGCCAGCGAATCCCCCTCTGTATCTCATTCTTTCTTTAGTTTCAACCTAATATGCTTAACTTTGGCTAAACATTTTGAAAAGGCCCTCCAAGCACCTATTTTTTATTCTTGAGTTACATAGACTGATCGCTGGGGATAATTCAAGTTGAAGTCAAAGTACCAAAATCAACAGATTATTTTAATAACACAATGAAAACACTACATCATTGCCGACCACATCAATGCACAGTGGCACTCACTGTAGCTATTGCATACAGATATGACAGAGGAGAGCGGAGCCCTTTAATTGAACAAACGAAATGTTGAAAGTGATCAAGACAGTGCACAAAAAAAAAAGATTATTAATGTTTTTTTTGCATGCTTTTCCGTTGCACACCAAATAGACACTATTGTAAAAAAGACTGCTACAAAACACAATAGAGCAGCCGACTGCTATGCATTTAGACCTCTGACTTTCTGCTTGTGCAGGTGGGATGTCCATATTAGACATTTCTCACTTCTTTTCTTGCTTGTGTGCATTCACGAGCTGCCTCGTTTTGAGCCCACTGTATCTCCCTTTAAGTATTCAAGTTCAAGAAATTTTTGTTAGCAGTATATTCTATACTAACTATAAATGGTGCCATTAAAAATTAAAATAATAAATGTTAACAACACAGTAAATGCTGCATACTGTGTTTGCCTGCTAGCATAGAAAAATATGTGCACACGAGGTTAACGCAGAAGATTTTTTTTTTTTCTCACTTGTGTGCTCTCTTCAGCAACTTCTAGTTGTACTTCTAAGTTATATGGCATTCAAAAAGTGAAAGTCTTTCACCCCGACGCTTTATTGGGACCTCACCCTTTTGAAGTGCGGGTGGAACATTGTGGTAATAACATGATCACTTCGCTAGATGAAATAGGCAAAATAATGGCTGAGTTTTCCCTACGTAGGACCATTCTGCTCACACCATTGGTGGCGCCTTGCAACATCAGTGGTGAGTAGAAGTGGCATGTGACTCCATGAAATGAAGTTGGGTAGGCATTTTTTTTTTTGTTGGTTTTAGATTTCCTAGGCTGAATAAATAGCTTCAGAGTGTGGATCCCTATCGCTGTTGTTCTTGCTGCATCAATCGTTCCATCCTCGATTCTAAAGCACCCGCAAGTACAAAATGGGGATTGAATAGTGTTGCGGAGGGCTCTCTTGTAAATGATTTCCATTACCGTGTTTCTTTTTGTTTTCTTTTTTATGTAAACATAATACATCTGAGTGCTCTTTTATTTTAATTAATAGTATGAATTCCTGGTGTTTTACATCCCAAAACCACAATATGATCATGAAAGATGTCATAGTGGAGAGCTCCGAACCATCTGCGGTTCTTCAACATACAGCCAAATGTAAGAATACAGGCCTCTAGCATTTCACTTCCATCAAAATGCAGCTGCTGCAGCAGGGATTAAATTCCCCAAACTTCGTTTCACCAGTCAAGCACCCTAACCAGAAGACCAATGCAGCAAGTCACTCCTTGTTATGTCCACCACTTCTAATATTCATAGTGCCAACTTCAATTACAGGGAACCGCTTACTCCTTGACCTTTGTAAACAGTAACAACAAATTCTAACATTCTTGGCCCAAAGTATTTATGACAGTGTGACCACATAACCACAAAGTGACCACTAAGTGGACATATCTAAGATTTTCATTTATTCATTTGTATTTTTCTTAATTCTGATCTCAGAGTACTCTCACCTTTTTTTTGGGTTATACATAAAGACGAAATTCAAAAGGCGAACGCCAGCTGGTGAGAGCCAGGGAAAGAAATGCTTCACGTTGTTGTACCTAAAAAAATTATGCAGTTCGGAATGACTTCAACAGTCTCAGGTACCTTTGATAACATAATTGAAACAAAATGCCATAATATAGCTTTGAAATGATAAAACATTTAAGCAATACAATGTTCACAATGCCATAATAGTGATTCACAAATGCACAGCATTTCCAAATTAATCAAAACAGAGAACTCGAACAATCTTAGAATGAAGACATAAAATTTTTCAAATCCGGAACAAGTGAATGAGTATGTTTACAAGAAATTTACAACAAATGCCTATGTAGCACTTGAGTCGTGCTATGTCAATAGCATATTTTATACATTTTTACTAGCTTACTGTAATTTTTGATGGGGGTCATGCTCCATTATTTGCCTCCTTTTTTGTCATTAAAAGAAAACAAAAAAAAACGTCACGAAAAACAACATGAGCAGGGGAAGGGGAAGGTCTCAATTGCAAGCTCAAACATCAGTCTTATAACGGCTTGGAGAGGCCAAACCCACGAGGGTAGAGTTTCCCACTAAGGCAACAGTCCAACTCAAAGGGGGAGTGCAAGTACTCTCAAAATTTTGCGTCATCAAAACAACTAGAAAAATCCATTTCCGCCAAAACAACTCTTGTATTTCTTCCTCGGACACGTCAATGGACAAGACGGCACAGCTCTGCCGCTAAAGCAAGGGTCAAAGTTTTGCTCGCGACTAGATTCTTTGGACAGGAACGCCGAAGTGCTTCTAGCTTTTCTTTTTTTGCGTCTTTACTGCCTCTAATCTACCACTGTGTTAGCCGCGTGCCCTCGGAACTCGTAGATCGCTATCGCGTCGCCGCGACCGTGGTTTTGTGTACCGCGGTTGCGGCAAACAAGGTAGTTCCGCTTTCAATCCACATGCGCTAGCTGCACAGGTGCCTTCAAAACTACCTAAGTTGTTTAATGCTATCTATGATCACATCTGCCGCGGTTTAGTCTACAGAGTTTGCGGAAAGCAGCGCTGCTTTGACTGGTCAAGCGTTGGACGTGCGCATACTTTCAGGGTAGTCTCAGTTAAGTCGTCACCATACATGATCGTTTCAAGAACTACCGCTGTTTTGTCCACAGCGGTTGTGGCAATCACAACCACACGCACTGTAAAAAAGTGCGTGCGCTGGCTCTGCGCATACTTCCGAAACTTCAAGCACGCTGCTCTGGCTTTTGTTCGACGGTTTCGGTACTAAAGTTTATATCACCCACCGCGAGATTAGGAAAACTGTTCGGAACATTCAAATCTTGGCCCAATGAACACTGAATTTGGCTGGAGAATTTCAAAAATTCGTATCTGCTGCAGTTTCGCATCACTGAGATTCTACTGTACGTTTAGACGAACGCCTCCTAAATTCGTTTATAAAAAAAATATGGTGGTTTTGCAAAAAGACTGGAGTGGATTGACCTGCATTTTTGTCAATGCGGCCAGATCACGCACAGAAATTTCAATTTCCGAGAGGTTTCCATGACAACTGTACAAACGGAAGAAACAGTCAAAATCCAGGAATCTCTCGAACAATCCGGAAGACTTGGCAGGTATGTGTGTGTGAAAAAAAGAGATGACATAAAATGTTGATAATGAGGACTTTTGGTAGAATATACAGAGAAAAAAATTAGCACTTTCAATAAGTAAATTATTATAGACTTACATTAATTGTAATAAACCAAGGCAAGGCACTTGAGCATCTAAGAGGGTCATACAGATAAATCGCGTTAAAATCACGTGATATGAGGCTTTAAGGGGGGACAAGGGTCATAAAATAACACAAAAATGTAAAAAAGGCTGACTTTCAAAAATTGAAATTTGAGGTATTTATAGACGAAAATGTGTTTTGGAAAAATATTATATTATGGCAAAATATCACTTTTTGTTAAAAGCTTAATATATGAAATTACAAATGTTTTTAAAACTGGAAACATAATTTTCTTGGCAGTGTTATTTTTGTGAACTAAACCTGCCTTACGGAAGTTTTGAGCAAGTTTCTGTGAAGATATCTAAACGAAATTGGTACCATTCTTTTCCGCAGCACTTGAACTACAGGCTAAAGCTTTTCTTTTCCTCTCAACTTTGATAGAATTGTAATTATATGATAAATACCAGCTAACTACTAGAAGCTCATTTTACCTTCCAAGTTAAAGAACTATTTCTGATCCAAGAAATAGCAGTTCTGACATCTAGTTTGCTTTGGCGTGTGGTATGAACATTTTAGAAGAAACATGTAATTTGAAAACTAACTTTTTTTATAACAAGTTAAAATAACAACCTGTAAGAATTTACCTAATTATAATGTGGAACTTTGTCATTACTTTTTTCTAAAGATATATGAAATAGATTTGCAGATTTGAAATCTCCATTCATGGTGTGCATGCATGGTAATTTTCATGACATTAGAAAAATGAATAAAAAAGTTTTTTCTAAGACCCTCGTCCCCCCTTAACTAAAATTCCATTGCCTCAACCAGCAGGTCACGTAATCTTGCTTTGCCTAATGAAGAATTAGTGCGCATATTTCAAATCTGGCGGCATATTTACGTTGCCACATGATCTCACAAGCCAATCACCACACTCGCAAGCTTACAGCTTTGCCCTCCAACAGTTTTTAAGACGTGTAACTGCAACAATTTTTATTTTATGTTTTACTCACCTTTTCTAGTGTATTAGTGTACAAAAATGTAAGTAAAAAAAATAATATTATTTTAAACAGGAGTACACAGGCCTAAAACCAGAACCAGTATCATTTTATACAAGTAATGAAGATTCAATATAAATGGCCTAGCCAGCCTTATTCTTCAAAAAATATATTAATAATAATAAATATTATGTATTGACTATGTCAATAGCATGCATGTTCGCACACACACACACACATACACACACACACACACACACACACAACACACACACACACACACACACAAAGTGGTCATTTGGTCATTTCAAGTTCCTGCATAGCATTCAAAGGGTGCCAGATCCAATGATAATGTTTGCAAAATAATCATAAACTATACAGTGATACACTTTAGGAACCACTTACGGCTGCTGCTTGAGGGTGAAATTCTCCAGTGCTGACAGCTTCGAATACCCCTGATATCAACATGAAAAAGGGAAAGGAAGAAAGGCCGCCCTGCATTACTTATTGCTAAATTTTGCACTCAAGAGGAGAATAACACTACCAATTCTAATGACACAAAAAAAACGTAAAAACACAAATACGTCCACAGAAATCAGCACGTGAATTCTGAAGTATACCAAGTAAAATAATATACACCCCACAATGTAACAGCGACAGTGGAACTCCTAGCCAAGTACCAAACCTCAAACAGTACAAACAAGCTACCAAAAGCAGGCAGAAAAGCAATTCAGATTTTAAACGCCACGAAGTTCATTGTGAGAAAATGAGAAAAACCTGGTGTACTGTCCCGACAATCATTGTCCCCAATGACACAACTATCAAAAATCAAATCCTAACAGTGAGGGTGACTTTGCATGGAGAGACAGCCAAGATAACCAAAGCCTGCCTGCATTAGGGCTGGACTCAACATGCAGAATTCAGATAATGGCTAGAAAAAAAAAGATGAGAGAAACCATCTCTATAATTATAATTCTTAGATACAAATACACTTTTATGTTAAACATCTTATGCTACTACCTTTTCCGATTTAAAAGTGTTAACGCTACCTAAAGGTGCGAGGCCAAGTGAAGGAAACATCTTTTTAAAAAGCAATAATCACTAAAAATTATTAGCCTGCAACATAAAACACATATTTTAGACAGATGTGAGTCTTAGGTAAGTCATATTTTATATTATTTCATAGTTAAATTTTCATTAAAAATATGCCTTGTGCAGGCACTCCTAACTCGTGTTCTACTCATTAAAAAATTTCCTTTTTTTTGCAGGCACATATAAAAAGCTTGGCCAATTCCATTAACCAAACAAATGAGATCTGATGAATAGTAAAAACATAGTAATTGAATAGCCAAAAGTATGCACTAACACTAGAGGCACCTTCTCATAACAAGCAGCCATATTAAATCTTGTGGCACGATTTTGCTCATTCAGGTTTATTGCATGCCTACAAATGTGATAAGAAACTGTGCCAAGTTTTAATGCAAAATGTTAATTAGCAAAATAACGACAACTGTTCGCATAAGAAAAAATGTCAGAAACATATGTGTTGAGAAAATCAACAAAACAGATTTGAAACGGGCGTAGTGCTTACACAAGAGACTTGGGAGGGCTAAAATTCTCAATATTAGAAGCCAGTTCCATCGTGGGTCTTACTATTGTGTGCCTCTTCTCTGGCGGCAACTCCAAATTTTTTTTTTTTCAAACTTGTTTTGCAGCAACAGTGACATGACTAGGTGCTTTCACGCTACGGTGCTGATCATGCACTCGATTGATGATTGATATATGGGGTTTAACGTCCCAAAACCACCACATGATTATGAGAGGACGCCGTAGTGTAGGGCTCCGGGAATTCGACCACCTGGGGTTCTTCAACATGCACCCAAATCTGAGCAGACGGGCCTACAACATTTCCGCCTCCATCGGAAATTCCGCGGCCGCAGCCGGGATTCGATCCCGCGACCTGCGGGTCAGCAAGCCGAGTACTTTAGCCACTAGACTAAGCTTGTGCGAATATTCGAATGCTTCAAATATTCAAACGAATAGGTGAGTATTCAAATTCACTTCGATTCTAACTTAAATTATCGAATATTTTCGAAGTATTCGCAAAAAACAATAAATGTACGTTAGTCCGCCTAAAGGTGGTTTACTGCAACGTTGTGGTGCAAAACCGTGAAAGCACCTACTCGGAGAAATTTGCTTTTCCGCGAAGCCCCCTTCAGATTAGAAAGGGCCCTGCAACACTTACTGAGCATGATCAGAAAACGCTGCCGATCGGTAGTCGAGGCTACCGAAAACACGCGAGCAAGTATTATAGCGCAGCACGCGCCCTGAAATTCACAATCAATTTTCAAAGCTAAACATTGCTTCTCTTCCCGCGGCAAATGACACTACAAGCTCAAAATCACTTGTCACAGCCAAGAAAGAAAATTACGGCCCTGGTCACAGTCATTGGCTGATTTGAGCATGGCGCGCTCGTCGTTACCGGACCGCCGCTTGTTCACAAGTACGTGCACAATCGCACTGAAAGCCCGATATTCGAAGAAAAAACAGAAAGAAAAATGCTCAAGGTCACTAGGTGCTCGTGATGTTTTTTCTTTCCCCGTGCCATCCTTCCCTTCTTAGCTTCCAGCTCTTTGATGGGTCGAGAATGGAGAATGCAATTGCAGCATGCGACAAAATTTTGGAACTCCGCTCGTACTGGACTGATTCTAGAAACTTTGCGGCGGTAAATTTGTGAGGCGACAAGCATGTTTACTGGCTCCATGGATACTTGAAAAAGTGTTGCAGGGCCCCTTTTTACTCTCAAATCAACCCTTTCATTTATTAGGCTTGATATGAGGGTTTATATGATTTAAGTATAATAAATTTTAAAAACGTTATGTATCTTACAGGTTATCACTCGGATCCCACCGAAACTACTAATCAAGGTTGTTTCGACTTCCTTTCAACGAAAAAAAAGGGCATTTGCACAGAGCCCCTATTTCAATTCAAAGAAATATTGTGCAGATTAGTTAGGTTATGATAAATATTCCCTTTTTTATATGTTATACATACTATTCGAATTCTATTCGAAATTATTCGAACCAAAATCACTATTCGCTTCGACCCTGAAATTCACTATTCGCACAAGCCTACACTGGACACCGCGGCCGGGCCGTGATCAAGCACTCCTAACTTGGGTTCTACTCATTAAAAAATTTCCTTTTTTTTTGCAAGCACATATAAAAATCTTTGGCCAGTACAATGAACCAAAACAAATGAGATCTGATGAATAGTAAAAACATAGTAATTGAATAACCATAAAGTATGCACTAACACTAGAGGCACCTTCTTATAATAGGCAGCCATATTAAATCTTGTGGCACGATTTTGCTCATGAGGTTCATTGCATGCCCACAAAGGGTGATACGAAACTGTGCCAAGTTTTAATGCAAAATGTTAAATTAGGCAAAAGAGCTACAACTGTTCGCATAGAAAAAATGTCATAAACATACGTGTTGAGAAAATCAACAAAACAGATTTGAAACCGACGTAGTGCTTATACAGATACTTGGGAGGGCTAGAATTCTCATATTAGTAGCCAGTTCCATCGTGGGCCTTACTGTAGTGTGCTTCTTCTCTGGTGGCAACTCCAATTTTTTTTTTTTTTTTTCGAACTTGTTTTGCAGCAACAGTGACATGACTAGGTGCTCTCACGCTTCGGTGCTGATCGTTTGTAAGGCACGCTTTTCCAGTGTAGAGGCAGGCTCGATCTCAATTGTTTAAAAATATCAATGTGCTTTTGTTGCCAAGTATTGAAATCATGCACATTATTAAGTAAATAGGATAGTATACAGGCTCACATAAGTGCCCTTGATGCGTGAAAAACAATCCATTACCTGATGAAAGATTATGACTTTTATGACTAAAGATGATGTGTGGACAGTGGCTTTTAGAAGCATTATTACAAGTTTGCTCTTTTATACGAGTGCTAAATAATCAACAAACTACTACATATTGTAACGTGGAAAATAACAGTAGTCAGGCTACAGCCTCAGCGCAGCTGACCGACAACGTCCACTCCTTCACTTTCAGTCTGAGGTACCTTTTTTGGGTATGTCCCACTATGCCCTGTTTCAGTCAGCTTAAATCACGTAACAATATCAAGCTCATCCTATGATTGACGCGAAATTGGCATTTCAGTTTCAGTTTCGTAGGTGATAGGTGGTCGAACATTTTTGCTTATCTTTGGAAAGAAACTGCATAGATAGAAGGTCTATGCAGTAAAATTATGGGTAATAAATTGGTCATTTTGCATAACCAAAATTAGAAAATGACATTTTGAGAAAAAATCCACTTTTTCCTCTTGGCCTCATACCTTAATGACGTCACAATACTGTGAGTAGGACTGGCAAAGCTATGATGAATGAATAAAAGAAGCCAGTGAAAAAAAAAAAAAAGCCTGCCAACGCACTCACACTCCGATGACACCTTTTAGCAGATGAAAAATATTGAGTATGAAATCTACCCAATAAATAGCTTCTTCACGGTGCACAATTCATACGAATCTGCCAATTCAGTGTTCAAGCTAACCTATTCAAGCTACCTTTTGTTTCGGCCTAGCATTAACAAAAGTCTCCAACTACTCAAACGCTATTCTAAAAAAATATTTGGTATCTTCAAAACATACTTCGTTATATAAGCCAATTTGCTATGAAAGTCATACAGCACAACGCAAATTACAGAGGCATAATGCAAGGTTTCTTTTGTTATACAGGCCATATCATTGTAGAGGCATCTATAGTAGTGGTGGACGCCAATAAATAAAACTTTTACTACGTAACTCTATGTGGTTCTATAATTGTACTATGTACATAGGTCCACGTAGATGTCATAATTATTTTATGGCAAATACAACAGCTATGTGGCATGCCACAGGCTGGCATGGTTGCATTGAGGCAATACTGCTACTGTGAGAGACTAAGGGATGACAAGTAGTTGTACAATAAATGTTCTATGCAGGTCAAATTTAACAGACATTAGGCAATATACTAGTAGTAACTAGCCAGGGTGTAACAAAAAAGAAATCGGACAACGCACAGGCCATATCGTGTCATTGGGTGTTCCAAGCAAATCGATGATTAGTTCCATTTGGTGAATCTCTGAACGCCCTGGCAGCAGGGGCTTATGTAACAGCAGCTCCCCTAGGACACAGCCAGCAGCCCTGCAAGCATCCAAACATTCAATTGAGATATGCACTGCTTGCTTTACTCCATTAATGATACCGTTTGTTTTTTAAAAGGGTGCTGACACGAAATTTTTTTTTTATGCGATGCAATCGGGATTCGTCCGAATAGCAAACGACAATAAGCCGCTGATGTAAAGTCCCAACCTTTCAGTTATGCGTAGCAACAACACAAATAGACTAGATGAGAAAGAACTGCAGGTATACTCTGCGTGTATAGCGCCTGTACGACTGAATGTTACGTGCATGCGCTGTAAAGGCGCGCATCACCTTGTACGCGGTATACGTGCGAAATACGACTGCATACGCGTCACATCCTCAGTTATGTGCAATGCCCGGTTTAGTTTACTTGCATTTGCTTGCTCGCGACAGGGACAATGACTGGCACCGCTGGGCGGAAATGGAACGCTTGCGCAGGGCGCACCGAAGCGGCAAGTGTGAATATAGAAAAGCCATAGCAGCGGACACGAACACCTCATAATTGCCGCCGCTACACGCGGCTGATAAAAGCTGAACAGCATGCGTCGCATAATGAAGGCGCAGGGAGCTAGTACAATAGCGACGCACACAACCGAGCAGCGCGTTACGCCAGGTTTGACTTCTATGTACGCGTATACGTACCTCACTGGAGTAGTAAATACGCTCGACAGCATCGTAAAGAAAAGTACGGGAACACATTGCTGTATTAGCTCGTATTCTTTTTCTCCGTGTGCAGACGCGCTTCGAGAGTCGAATGTGACAGAAAACTCCGACAACCGAAGGACTCGTTTGATTTCGCTCGAAGAACGGCCGGTTGTATTGCACACAAAAGTGGTGACGGCTCGAGCGCCTTCATTGGCGGGCTCGTGGCCCTCAGTCCGATAGCGAATCTACTGAAGCTGCGACCGATTCATGCTAGCTATTTTTCGGCCTATTAGGCATACACAATTTGACATTCCTGTATAGTCAGATGTTGAGCGCACTCACACTTGTGTTTTTTCATGCGGTGTCTACTAGCATATGTATAGCTGTACACACAGAAAAAAAAAGAGAGAGAGAGAGACAGCAACGAAGAGGAAAGGCAGTGAGGTTAACGAAGCTTTGGCTCGGTTGGCGACCCTACACTTGGGTGGGGGAAATCGGAAGGTGCACATCAGCATATGCGCATCGCGTGATATATGCAAGTGATTGGTAGCTCTCAGAATCATGACGATTCTTGTAAAACAACAGAAGCGAGCTGGAAATTGCTCATAGAGAGATAAGCAGCGCTTCCAAATCATTTAGCTGCGCTGCAGTCTCATCTCGGCGACTTCGGTGCGGCGTGTCCACGTGCGCCGTGACTGTCTGTCGCCACGCCATCATTCAGAGCGGATGCCATCCCGAGACGGGTACGGCAGGTAGCGAACCGTGACCGCCATGTGTGGTGCGCGCCTTTAAAGGGGAACGAGCCGGCACGACCGCACACGCGCAAGACACTCTTCCCGCCCTTCAGAGAACGCCCCCTCATCTTGTCCCGAGCGGGAAAAGGCGCGCAGGGACACGCGTCGAGGTTCGCACTTTCCCGCTCAAATGAGCACAGCGTCGTGCCGTGTACTTCTCGTTGATCCTCAGCAACGATGGTCCCTCTGCCCGAACGCCCCCCTCGCTACGCCGTGGAAGAGTGTAACGAAACAGTGTAAAGAGGCCCGTTCTGGTGGGCTTCGAGATATGTCATGCTTAACACCCTCGAAATAGGCCGGAACACGCGGAGATACTGCTCAATATATACGTCAACAAAGCCTCGCCCGTGCATGGGTGGCACGAGGAGCAACATCAATTAAGATTGCCATGGCACGTGGAACTTCACGAGCATGGATGAAATGGGAAATATAATCAGTACTTTACCTCGGCCCATATAGTGCCGAATTAGAGCCGCTCCTATTTGAAGAGGAACAAAAAAAAAAACATCACGACATCAATATCGCTGAGCTCGTTCACGTGTTCCTTATAGACCCACCAATAGCCCATCAGAGTTCTTTGTTGTCAAGGTCAAGCCGGTGAAGCTATGAAGAACGGTGGCGCGCATGCTGCTTTTCAGGCTTTTACGAGTATCATAATACAAGTATCATAATTAACTTTAACAAAAGGTACAAGATGAAGCTGGTACAGGCCTATGCGCCTACATCGAGCAATGATGATCATTTGGTTGTTGAACGCTTCTATGAAGACGTGGAGTCAGCCATTAGTAAATTAAAGACACAGTATACTATTCTGATGGGTGACTTTAATGCCAAAGTAAGCAAGAAACAGGCCGGAGACTATGCAGTGGAGGAATATGGCATCGGCTCTAGAAATGCTAAAGGGGAGTTATTAGTAGAGTTTGCAGAACGTTATAGTTTATGGATCTTGAATACTTTCTTCAGAAAACAGACTAACCGTAAGCGGAGGTGGCGAAGTCCTATAATGGCGGAACAAAAATGAAATAGACTTCATTCTGCGTGCACACACAGACATTGTACAGGATGTAGAAGTAGTTGGCAAGATCAGATGCATGCAGTGACCCTAGAATGGTAAGGGCTCGTATTCACTTAATTTTTAAGAAACAAAGACAAAAACTGATACACAAGAAGCCAATAAGTGAAAAGGCGGTGAGAGCGAAAATAGAGGAATTCAGAGATTCGCTTCAGAATCGATTTGTGGCACTAAACGAGGTAAACGGCGTTAGCGTACACGCAATGAACGGTAATCTTACTAGTATCATCAAAGTGTGTGCAATTGAAGTTGCAGGTATACAGCCACTATAGACTAGAAACTGGGAAGCTATCTCAGTAGACGAAAAATCCTATTAAGAGACGACAAACGATGAAAGCCTCAAACGCAACCAATAAAATAGAGCTAGTGGAGCTTTCAAAGTTAATCAATAGGCGTAAGGTAGCCGACATAACCTGAAAAGAATTGAGCAGGCTGTAAAAACTAGCAGAAGTCTAAAAGCTGCGAAGGCAGACTTGTGCATAGGCAAAAATCAGATATATGCATTGAGGAACAAGGAAGGTAATGCCATAACCAATATGGATAGGATAGTCAAGATGGCGGAGGAGTTCTAAAGAGAGCTGTACAGAAGTCAAAAGAACCAGGATGATATTGTGAGAAACAGTTATGAACCTGACATTCCACATCCTACCAGTAACGACAGGGGAAGTAAAGAGAGCCCTAGAAGGAATGCAAAGAGGCAAAGCCACTGCATGGTTAGAGTAAGCTAACAACGGACTTCCTTAAAGATGGCCGAGAAATTGTGTTTAAAAAATTAGCCACCTTGTATACCAAGTGTCTCTTGACGGGAAGGGTACGAGAATTTTGGAAGAACGCCAACATCATCTTAATCCTTAAGAATGGAGACGCCAAAGACTTGAAAAATTACAGGCCCATCAGCTTACTGTGTGTCCTCTATAAACTATTTACAAAAATAATAGCTAATAAAATTAACCGGACATTAGAGTTCAATCAAGCAAAAAACCAAGCAGGATTTAGTATATAGGTTACTACACAATAGACCATATTCATACTACCAAACAGGTAATAGTGAAATGCGTGGAATACAATCAGCCCCTATACATAGCTTTCACAAATTACGAGAAGGCGTTTGACTCAGTCGAGACGACAGCAGTAATGCAGGCAATATACGGAATCAGGGCATCGAAGTACCCTACATAATCATACAGGAAGAAATGTACAGAGGATCCACAGCCGCCATAGTTCTCCATAAAGAAAGCGACAGAATCCCAATAAAGAAGGTTTAAGGAAGGCAGGGAGACACGATCTCTCCAATGCTATTCCCAGCGTGCTTACAGGAGGTATTCCGGGCCCTAGATTGGGAAGAGTAGTGAATAAGAGTTAATGGAGAGGGCCTTAGTAACCTCCGATTCACTGATGGCATTGCCTTGATGAGTAACTCAGGGGACTAATTACAGCTTATGATCATTGAACTGTACACAGGCACTCACTCACTGGATTTCGTGTCGACTGGTTGTGCCCCCGCAATCTCCGACGACAGCGCAGCTCTAGCCGACTGGGCTCCCCCTACGCCATCTCCTGACGCCGACAAGAGCTCTCGCCGAGGGGTGCCCCGTCCTCGGACTCCTGCAACCATGTCCATCTTTCCTATCTCCTCTTTACTTCCGTCGTTCGCTGTCCCTGCGCCTCGCTCTCCCCTTCCTCTCTCTGTATGTATACCTTTTAATCATATCCTTTCAATCCCTCCTTACCCCCATCCCTTGTAAGCCGCTGTTGAGTTGTGGCACTTTGATGTAGACAGCTACGGGGCTCACTTTTCTCTTCTTTTCCCTTTAAGAATCACATAAGAATCACATATGAACTGAACACAGAAAGCAGAAAAGTACGTCTGAAAATTAATATGCACAAAAGTAAAGTAATGTCCAACAGTCTCGACAGAAAACAGCACTTTGCGATATAGGTGGATAGACGCTGGAAGTTGTAAATATGTCTACTTAGGACTGGCCATAGTGACCGCGGAGCCGAACTATGAGAGTGAAATAACTAACAGAATAAGGATGAGGTGGATCACACTCGGCAAGCATTCTCAAATCATGAATGGTAATCTGCCAGTAACCCTCAACTGGAAGGTATATAACAGCTGCATCTTTCCACTACTTGCGTATGGAGCAGAAACCATGGCAGGCTTACAAAAAAGGGTTCAGCTTAAATTGAGGACGACGCAGAAATAGATGGAAAGGAAAATGATAGGTGTAAATTTAAGAGACAAGAAGAGAGCAAAGTGCGGTCAGGGAATAAACCGGGGCTAAGGATATTATAGTTGAAATCAAGAAAAAGAAATGGACATGGGCCGGACACGTAGCACGCATAGGCACGATAACCGATGGTCATTAAGGGTAACTGACTGGGTTTCCAGAGAAGGCAAACGCAAGAAGGGGAGACAGGAAGTCAGGTGGGCCGATGAGATTAAAAAGTTTGCAGGTATAACGTGGCAACGGAAAGCAC